TAATTATTTTTAATAATACTATGCTCTACTGATACATTTTTAAAATTTATTTAGTAATTAAAATTTCGCTGATCAATTCATCTCTCTTGGATTGACTGAATGGCTAAATAGGGAAAAATTTTAATGATTCAATATAATTATTAAACTAAGTTATTTTGAGGATATACAAGTTAAGTATTTAGTTCACAAAAAGAACTGTTTCTGAATTTTCAAATAATACTGAAAATAATTAAAATTTATCTTGGAAACTGTAATTTAGCAAGCACTAAAGTAAGAGAGACTCTCATCTAAATAATGATAGATCTTTCTGATTAAAATGTATTTTCATAATTTAATTATTAGGGAAATAACTTACACTATATTATAAATTCATTACAGACAAAAAATATATCCTCACTGTCTTTAGTTAAGGGAACTATTCCTTTTCCTTTCTGATTCTCCAATTGATATATTATACTATTAAAAAGTATAAAATAAAAATAATATTCCCTTACATATAAGATTAATTTGTTAATAATTAATAGTAAGGAAATTTTAGACTTAGTAATATATACAATAATGGTTGATAGGTAATTCTTTAAATTCATGTTCATGATTACCTTTCTTTTTTTAATTTTGTCTATTATCATTCTTATTTTATCTAAACTCACTTCTTATCATAATTTTCTAAAAATCTGGCTCTTTCATAAGCTTATTATACCTTTAAATAAATTTGTAATCTTAGATTAGCACATAATCCTTTTTTTAATTTCTAGTTGAACATCATTAAAAGCGACTTGACTAATTAAACTCATATATCTTTTAGTGTAAGCACATCTAAATTAATTTTTAGGTAAAATATATTTAGAGTCTTTTCCTCCAAGAAATAATCCTTACTGATATTACCTTTGGAGAAAAATTAAATAGTATTTATTAATCTATTTCTAAAAATAGTTTTTTTATCAAATTTTGATTTTATTAACTTTATCAACTAATACACAAATATTCAAATCTTAAATAATTTTTTTAAATGTACTCTATATAGAAATTTATTTATGAAACCCAGTTGATAATATGAAGAAGTAAGCATAAGAAACATTATAACAGCAGATAATTTATTAGGGGTATTATTTAAAAAGATTTATGTGACAAACTGAGAAGGTCAAATCGGGGTTCTGTTAAGTCAGTATAGAAGTATGAAATTATTGAAGAAGTAATGAAAATCCCTCTTCAATAATAAATTTTGGGTATGGATTTAAAAAGGACTCCAGACAAAGATTTGATTATTAATGTCCTTAAAACACTAAAACCGAATAAATATGACATGAGATAGTTCACATAAGAATAGATTAAGTAAATGAATTTATAAGCATAGTAAAATTAACGACTTAGATTTCTCAATGGGAAAGAAATTTGGTGTTAAAAGATTATTTCGCATTTCGAAAGTAAAATAAATAGAAGCTGAATAATTTAAGAAGAACATAAAAAAAAAAATTTAGAAGTAAAAATGGATTGCAAAAATAAACTGATTTAAGAATGCGAAAAAGAAATTCAATAGATTGAAAATAAAATAAAGGATATAGACGGCGATTGATCAAATTTAATAATATAGATTTGTTCATGAAAGAAATTTTTAGTTAGTTTTAAAATAATGAGTTTTTAATTTTTTATTATGATTTTTCTCTTAGATTTTTCAATCTGTAGCTTATTTTATTTTCTATTAAATATTTTCTCCTTAATTAATTACATTCTCGGTGTGACCCTGAATTAAAGAATTCACAATAACCCTACTTTAGATTATAATCATACTATTAGTTTTGTTCTCTAAACTACATTCTAATTCAATTATACTCTGATATCTTTCATCCATTTAAATTCTATTGATCTCTCTTTTTTACTATAATTAAGATTTACTCATCTTTTCTGAAATAATATTTGCTTTTTAATTTTATTTATCTGTATTCTTTTGATATTAAAGCTTTTCTTATTATAATGATGAAATTAATATTTGAAATAAGTTTGGAAATAATTATTTAGAAATGAATAAATTTTAAGAATTTGGTGAATTAAATGAAATTTTAGAAATTTTATTAAATTGTAGTTTAATAGTTAGTTACATGAATGAAATATAAGATTGAATTAAATTTATTTATTTGTTGTAAATATTGAAACAAGAAGATTCGAATAATATCTTTTTTCGATTAATAATTAATAGTAGAGAATATAATAATTTTAAAATTTAATGCGATGTTTAATTCAATTCATTAATTATATCTAGTATGAATATTGCAAGATCTGGTATTGTTCATTTAATTGCTTATTTGAATTGGTGGTTTCTTTAGAATTATTTTTTTGGTCAAGGAAATTAATACTAAACATGAATATAATGCTATTTGTAATTCTCTATATGGTTTTAGATGTCTAAATTCCATTGATGCATTTATATTTAATTATTATAAAGCTCTTGTAAGATAGATAATTAATAAATATAAAAATATATCATCAAAATTAATGAAGATTAAACTAATTTAATTTAAACATTATTAATTTAGAATTCTTAGATATTGGGTAGGTTTTTTATATTAATGGATTAAATTACAAAATAATTTTAATTATTAACAAAATTTATAACTTAAGCTAAAAGTTAAATAAAAATATAATTTTAAAAGTACTTTGGATGAAATAAAATGGTATTTTCTGATTATGTTTAATCCAAAAATTATTTAATTTATAAATCAATTTATTTTAAAAAACATATAATAGTTAGTATTTGGACAATTAAATTAATATCAACAAATTATACTCCAAAGATAAATAAATATTTTAATTTCTTAGAAAATATACAGAAAATTTTCGATTGAATTTCAATTTACAAAAGTAATTATATTTGTAACGTTTATTATATTAAATATATAATAATATACACAAAATATTTTATTAAGATTATATCAATTTAAAAAGAACAATAGAATTGTAGGTTGAGAGAATAATTGATTTATTTTAATATGAATATATTAGCATCTTCATTTCATAAACAAATTGCATATAATATTCAAGAAATAAAAATTTTAATTTTGATTTATTTCTAGTTTTGTTATATATGATTCGGGTGTTATTTTAATTCTAAGATGCATTTTAGCAGTTTTTCTATGGAGCAAAATAATCTTACTTAATTCAAAAAGGCTTACACAACAAAACTGTTTCTCTTAATAAATTTTAATTACAATAAATTTATGAATTATTAATAAATTATAGTTACCTAATCAACAGCTATAAAATATAGAATTATAGGACTAATATTTTTGGGGTAAGATTTTTCTCAGTAATATTTTTACTAAATTGTTATCTTATATTATAATTTATCAATAGCACCTTTTTGATATTTGATCAAACATAAAATTCTAAAGGTATAAAGAGAGTAAATAATATTGTATTTTTAATACCTTCTAATTTAGTAAAGATTTTAGAATGGTAAGGTTTATGGATAAATGAAAACATATAGTGTAATCCAATAATATATAGGAAATCTATTATTAT